TGTGAGCAAGACACGAGAAGTCATTCTTCCACTCTACTCTGCGCTGATTAGGCCTCAGTTGGAGTATTATGTCCAGTTCTGGGCACCGCATTTCAAGAAAGATGTGGAGAAATTGGAGAGGGTCCAGAGAAGAGCAACAAGAATGATTAAAGGTCTAGAGAACATGACCTATGAAGGAAGGCTGAAAGAACTGGGTTTCTTTAGTGTAGAAAAGAGAAGATTGAGGGGGGACATGATAGCAGTTTTCGGGTATCTAAAAAGGTGTCATGAGGAGGAGGGAGAAAACTTGTTCATCTTGGCCTCTGAAGATAGAATAAGAAGCAATGGGCTTAAACTGCAGCAAGGGAGGCTTAGGTTGGACATTAAAAAAAAGTTCCTGTCAGGGTAGTCAAACATTGGAATAAATTGCCCAGGTAGGTTGTGGAATCTCCATCACTGGAAATATTTAAGAGCAGGTTAGATAAATGTATGGTCTAGACAGTACTTGGTCCTGCCATGCGTGCAGGAGACTGGACTCGATGACCTCTCAAGGTCCCTTTCAATCCTAGTATTCTATGATTCTATGAACCACACCCTCCTTCCAGCGGCTCAGCCCACTGCCACAAGGGGACTCTGCAGGCACTAACAGCAGCCAGACCCAGACCCACAACTCTGGTACCTACCATTCCTGCCTGAGTCATTCCACTCACACCTCCAGCCAAGGCATAACATGGGCAAAATGGTGGGAAGCACATGGAGACCTTGGTTGTAGGAAGAGCAGCACCACTGTTATGTCCCTGAACCTGCATCTCCTGGGAGTGGGTATGGAGGGGACAGTTTCTCACACAGGAGCCAGGATTATTGGGGCAGGTATTCCTGATATTGGGGGCAATGAGCAGGGCTTGACAAACCACTTGCCAGCTCCGTACTGCATGCAGGCGCCGCCAGTGAACGGAGTTTGTCGAGCCCTGGCAATGAGGGACCCTAAACCAAACCCAACCCAGCTGCTCCAGAGCCCACCCAGGATCCCATACCTGAGGGACAGTAATCCTTACCCAGCCAACTCACAGCCTCATAATTCTCCTGCATCACATCCCGGTAGAGGGCTCTCTGGCCCGGGTCCAGCAGAGCCCATTCCTCCTTAGAGAAATACACAGCCACCTCTTCGAAGGTCAGCAGCTCCACCACGGCCATGTCCTGTCCCTGGCTCTGAAGGCCAGGGGATGAACTGGGGGAAGACATGGGTGTTCTGCAGCCTGTCAGGAGAAGAGCTTCACTGGAATGTACTGTAAAACTAGATGTAGCACACAGGGAAACTGGCACCAGAAAATGTGATTAGAAGTACAAATACACAAATAAAATGCAAAATATTTGTATATACAATAAAGTAAGAGAAAAGTAAGGTGGGTACTTCAGTGGCTGTAGGATAGGGAATTACTTACAGAAATACGGATCTTGGTAATAAGTTTGCAAATATAAAATCATTTTCAAAAGTATCTGAGAGCTTTCACATTTAAACCCTGGTCTAAAGTGAACATTCAGGAAGCAAAATCTACCCAAGTAGCTGGCGATGTGAGAAAGCACCAGGCTGAGGGTGACCGTATTTCCCTATGTTGGATGCTGGACCCCAGGTAAAACGACTCGTATTCAAGCAAGCTCAGCTGCAATACCTCAGAACTGAGCAGCATAAAGGCTCAAATTAAACCAAATTCCTGTTAAGCATAATGACTGTGTAGTTGGAGCCTTCTTATCTTTAAGTCTTTAGGATTCAAAAGGGAAGGGAGACACCCCGCATACCTCTCTCACATGATTTGGTGCCTGCCAAAGCTGACATGGGATGTTAAATATCAATTAATTGAATAGTCAAGTAACCTCAAGAATTCTTATGACTCACTTAACTATTCTATAGCCCCTGGGCATGCGGACGACAGCCAGTGTGTTCCAGCCTGACTCCACACTGCTGCCACTCCTGTATATCAGAGGCAGTAGTGCAGAGTGCCAGGCGGGACCTGATCTGAGAGGGGAGCCAATTTAAAAAGCAGCTGTTCTTGCAGACTAGCTGCCTGTCACCCTGTGCTGCTACCTCTGATAAAGTAGCACGGGGTGCAGCAGCTCCTGAGCTCTCTGCCCTGTCTCCTAACACACTTTAAATGCCGAGACATAGCGGGGTAGGTCTCAGATCCATTTCAAGCCAGGACTGGCCAGCCTGCTACAAAATTTACTGGCAAGTGTGTGGGTGGGAGGGTGGGCGGGCAGGGGGAAGCAAAGCATTTTGTCTATAGCATTAACCTATATGTTTTTGCTTAAGTGAATAGAGTATTACAGCTCTAGAACTGAATCTGGTGCTTTCCTCTGAGTCCAATCTGGCAAGGAGGAAGGACACTCCCTGGGGTGGCCACTGGACCCACACTCCCTATTTGTGGGCAGGCAGCTAGGGAGCAGGGATCTGGCAGCAGCAGCAGGATCCACCAGCTCTGATGGGGAAGGAAACAGAAAATATGGGACAATTTACCCATTTTTAAGAACAAGCCAGAACCTGCAGCAGGCCTTTAACCTGGGACATCTGTTCACACCCAGTGGAATTATTCAAAAGTCTCCTCCCTATGGGTCCATATGAGAAGCTGATGCCAATGTCGTGTAAGCAAAGGGGAGGTGCATGGGGGCAGGAGAGGAGGAAACGTTGTTCTAGGTCAGTACAACTAGCAGAGGCTGCACGGATGGACCAGCTGGGGGAGCAGCCACTGGACTCCCCACTTCCTGTTGGTGGGTGGGTGGGCAACTGAGGAGCAGAGATCTGGCAGCAGCAGAACTCACCAGCACTGATGGGGGGTGGGGGAGGAAAATACGGGACCATTTACCCAATTTAAGAACAAGCCAGGACTCTGCAGCCGGGCTTAAATCCAGCCATGTTCCTTTAGCCTGCTCCCTAACTAGAGTGCTGGGCAGAAGGCAAAACAACAGCTCTCACAGGCAACCCCAGCAGCTCAATTGCACCCCCTTGGGCAGCATCCACATCTCAAGTAGGAAAGGGGCATCTTCTCCAGGCTCTGGCCACCCACACAGAACAGGGAAGTGGGTGCTGTCCCCTCTCCTGTATTTTTTACAAATGCTGCAAATGCCCCCATCCTCAGGTGCTTTTCCTCTGATCGTAGTCTGGAAAGGAAGACAACAGGGCATGATAGGGCAGAGCAGGGAGGTCGACAGCAAGGAGGGGGAATGGAAAGGACTGATGGACAGGCAGCAGAGGGAACAAGACACTGGCTTGCCGCCTGGCCCTTGCTCACATGGATCAGCCATTATTGTGGGCAGCACAGTCAGTGCTGGACAGAAACGAGGGGGGGTGGGAGAGGGGAGCCCTGGCTGGCTAATGCTGAGACACAGCAGAGGCTGAGCAGATGTACATGCCAGGGGGAGGAGAGACTGGCCCCCTACTCCCTGTTGGTGGATGGGCAGCTGGGGAGCAGGGATCTGGCAGCAGCAATACCCACCAGTGCTGATGGGGAGGGAGACAGAAAATAAGGGACAATTTACCCATTTTTAAGAACAAGCCAGGATCCTGCAGTCGGCCTTTAACATGGGACATCTGCTCACAAACCAGAGTGCTGGGCAGGAGGAAAACAACAGCTCAACCTGAATCTCACCCTTGTGCAGTGCCCCCTTCTCTGGTAGGGAAGAAGCGCCTTCTCCAGGCACCGGCCACCCACACAGTCTGGGAAAGTGGGCACTGCCACCCCCTATCCTGGTAGGGGGAAAAACCCTCTGTCCCCTCACCCGTATTTTTACGAATGCCCCTCCCCTGCCACATTTTTTTCTAGCAGGGCCCGGAGCCTGTTCTTAACCCTGCTGTCTGTCCCAATGTTACCCTTTGGCCCTTCTCTTGGCCCTGCAGCCAATTGTGGGATCTCCCTACCCACATGGCCAGTTTGGCCCCTGCTCAGACTTTGCCTCCCCTATAAACAAAAAACAAACTGGGGTGCGGGGGGGACCATTCTGGGGTCAGTGGCATTCAAGTGAGAAACAAAAACACACCACACCCAAAAAATCCCACAAAACCAAAAACCCTTACTGACATCAGCCTTGACTCCCCACATTCACCACACACCAGGGGGTCCAGCCTAATATATTTTGTATGCTGCAGACAGTGGGAGGGGGGCTAGAAAGCCAGGGCAGGCTCCCCAATATCTGGGGGGGGGTCCCTGAGATTCAGGGGCTAGATCCAGGCAGGCCAAGGGTCACATAGCGTAAACAGAGGGGACATATGAGGGGGCGGGAGAGGAGGAAATGTTGTTCTAGGTAAGTACACCCAGCAGAGGCTGCACAGATGGACCAGTTGGGGGAGCTGCCACTGGACTCCCTACTTCCTGTTGGTGGGCAGGTGGCTGGGGAGCAGGGATCTAGCAGCAGCAGGACCCACCAGCACTGGTGGGGAGAGAGAAAGAAAATATGGGACAATCCACTCATTTTTAAGAACAAGCCAGGACCCTGCAGCTGGGCTTAAATCCAGCCCTGTCCCTTTAGCCCAGGACCTCTGCTCCCTAACTAGAGTGCTGGGCAGGAGGCAAAACAACAGCTCTCCTAGGCAGCCCCCAACAACTGAATCTCACCCCTTGGGCAGCACCCACCTTTCAGGTAGGAAAAGGCACCTTCTCCAGGCACCGGCCACCCACACAGCACCAGGAAGTGGGTCCTGCCACTACCTATCCTAGCAGGAGTGAGGGAAAAATCTTCTGTCCTCTCTTCTGAATTTTTACTAACACTGCAAATGTCTCCCCCCACCTTGATTGGGGTATTTTTTATTTCCTGGCATGGCCTGTTCTTAACCCTGCTGCCTGTCCCCATTTTACCCTTTGGCCCCTCTCTTGGCCCTGCAGCCAGTTGTGGGATCTCCCCACACTTACAGTGAGTTTGGCTCCTGCACAGTCTTTGCCTCCCCTGCAATTTCATGAACCATCTTACCTCCACAAACGAAGTTTGGGGGAGAGGGTTTTTGGGGGGTCAGTGGCTGCACACATGCATCCAAGTGAGAAGGGAAACCCCTCACTGATGTGCCCCCCAACTCCATACATTCACCACGTGGGGGGAGGGGGGGGAGTGTCCAGCCTAATATATTTAGAGTGTCCGGGCCCCGGGGAAAGGAATCCAGGGCAGACTCCCCAATACTGTAGGATCCCTTGAGCTTCAGGGGCCATGTCCGGGTCCCCGGGCAGTAAGATGCCCGGTCAGGCCCCGCCCCGGGTGGCTGGGTCCCTGGGATTCTCCGGCCCTAGAGCCAGGCCGGGCCGCGGCGGGTTCACAGGGGCTGCAGATCAAACCTGCCCCGCGCCCCGCCCCCGGCCAGGCGGTTACAGCTGAGCCCGGCCCGGGGAGCCCAACCCCGCTGGGCGGGGCCGTGGCCAGGCAGCTCCCGGTCTGAGCTAAACCCTGGCGCGTGTCTTGGACCGGAGTCACTGACGCGCTGCGCACGCGCGGTCTGACTCCTCCCTCCATTCTGTGACCTCCTGGCTGGTTTTTCAGTTCGACCCCTCCCCCCGCATCAGGCCCCTCCGCGAACGCCGGAGCGTCTGACCCTGCGCATGCGCCGCACGCTCTGAGGCGCGAGTTCTGACGGAGCCCTGGCTACTTGGCTACTCGCCGCGCGGAGGAGCCGAGGAGAGGGCGGGAGGGGCGCGCGGAAGAAACC